TGGGGGTGCTATATACACTTGACGACAGCGTAACTGGTGTGTTGCCCTTCATTTGGCCTCTCCTTATGCTCACACTTTGCAACAAAGTATTTATAGTGCTCTGGTGTGGTTTGATTCTTCTTTCCTATCAAATATCTGTCGTCCTTATCTCCCCTTCTTTTTTATGTTTGTTACTCTCTAGTAACACCTCTAATCTTCTGGCGCTTATATGACCTTACGCAGTTGCGAGCGCCATAAAACTTCTACTAGAACTAGATACTAAAATCAGTAGAGAAAGTCTTACATATACAAAACATCCTTTTGCGCAGTAGGTCTGTGTCCGTAGACTAGAGACAGTCTTACACAATCTGTTACTCTATATGTCTGTCTCAGTAGAGTAAGTCTTACATCGTGAATGTACACATGTCATCATTATCTGTCTATCTGTCTGTGAATGTATTGGTAATAATTTCCGTGTTGGTTTTCAGATCTTTCTTTATTTTTCCCTGAGATTAATTTCTCAAAAGGACAGTCCAGACAGTTGTGACGTCAAGTTCTGTCATTAGTCGAGGGAACCATAGACCCACTGCCCCGTCTGCAAGAGGTGAAACCCCTCCATTGACGAAGTGTCGAACACGGACCCCAACCCTCTGGGATCCGTGTGCGACATCTACTTTGGTGTATCTTCCTCTTCTCCTTCCTTCTTTCTTTCTCCTTTCATCCCTTCTTCCACCGTTGACCTCATGTGCCGGAAAACTGTAGGTCTTCCACCCCAAAGAGAAGGCGCCTCGTTGACTGTGAGGGGTGAACCGTCAGGAGGGAAACCAGGTACCTGTTGTTATTTGTTGTTATCAGTTGTTGTATCAATTACAGGGACAGAGACAGAGACAGAGAGAGGGAAAGAGAGAGAAAAGAGAAGGGGGCGGGGTATGGAGGGGAGATGAGGGAAATGGTCTGCATATGAGTATATATTGAAAGTGTCTTTGCGTGTGCCTTCGTGTTTTTTTTTTTGCGTATGTGTGGGTTTTTGTTGTTGTAAATGTCTTACAGCGCTAGCAACTGCATAAGGTCATATGAGCGCACGGGACACATATATTTTCAGTTGGTAAGAAATTTTGAATTTTGCCTGGGTGCAGCCGAAGTCTACTCTTATCGATTTTAGATCACCAACGGGATCTTTAACGTGCGCAACTTGCACACGGCCTTCAGAGATTTTTCGCCCTTGTCTGAGAAGGCTAGGTGTAGATCTTTCCTACCAGAAGATCAGGGATGTGGCTGAAAGACAGCAGTAAGAAGGAGCCAAGAAGTAGCTGTAGAAAGGCTGCAGAAAGAGTTAGGAGCCCAGTGGAGGGGGCAAAGGAAGTGAGGGGGTGGGAGTAGAAAGTGGAGACGAAAGCAGACGACTGAGTATTGCAAGAGAGAAGGGAAGAAGGTGAAAGGAGACAATTTTAGAGAAGAAAATGTTTCGGTCACTACGCGGATTCGAACCCCAGACATTTGAATGAGAGGCGAGTACCTTAACCTCAAGGCCACGAGATCCCATTGCTCCTGTATGTCTGTGTGACAGAGCGCACGAAACGAGAGAAGAGAGAGAGGGAGAGAGAGAAAGAGAGAGAGAGAGAGAGAGAGAGAGAGAGAGAGAGAGAGAGAAAGAGAGAGAGAGAGAGAGAGAGAGAGAGAGAGAGAGATAGGAGGGGGGAGAAAGTGGAGGGGGGGGGAGACAGAGAGAGAGTTGAGGGGCACACACACACACACACACACACACACACACACGTACAGAGAGAGAGAGAGAGGGAGAGAGAGAGAGAGAGAGAGAGAGAGAGAGAGAGAGAGAGAGAGAGAGAGAGAGAGAGAGAGAGAGAGAGAGAGAGAGAGAGAGAGAGAGACAGAGAGAGATTATTAAAGGGGATGAGATAAGGGGGGAGGGGAGGGGGTGCTAATTAGTGTTGTTTAGAGAGTGTAGCATGCGATAAGCCTAAGGAAATATTATGTGATCTGCTCGACGCGAGCCTGTAGTCTGTGAACCTAGAGGTTCATTCTGAGCACGCGTGTACTAGCAGACAATAATTATTATTTTACATTCGTTGATTTTCTCTAGGTTAGGTATTTCCGAGAAAATGAACATCGTGTTTCCACTTGTTTGTGAGCCCCTTATGTGTTTTTCTTAGATACATGTACGTTACGCTCATAAAATAAATGCCTGAGTAATTTTTAGCCATTTTGAGAAAATAAGAAAATATGATTTTCTTTGAACAATCAACTCTGTGAAACGCTTGAATTTTGGTACGCTTAAGTGGTTTTCTATTTGGATTATTCTTTTGTCCAAGTAAGCTATAGGGCTTTGCCATAAAAAGATTAAAAGTGAAAATGAGATTTTTGGACATATATTTGAAGAATCAATACGTACAATCTCCTGATGAAAAAACACGCCATTTCTAGAATCCAGATTCTGGGCTCTCGTGGCGCGATCGTGGCCTAGAGGTTAAGGTGTTCGCCTCTCATTCAAAGGTCCCGGGTTCGAATCTTGTGAAAAATTTTCTTCTCGACAATTGTCCTCTCTCACTTCCTTTCCTGCTCACTGGCAATGTTCTGTCGTCTGCTTTCGTCTCCACTTTCTGCCCTCACCCCTTCACTTCCTTTGCCCCCTCGAGATTTTCTGAGCTCCCGACTCTTTCTGCAGCTTTTCTACTGCTACTCCTTGGTTCCTTCTTACTTCTGTCTTTCAGCCACACCCCTGATCTTCTTGTAGGAAAGATCTACACCTATGCCTTTTCGGACAAGGGCGAAAAATCTCGGAAGGCCCGTGTGCAAGTTGCGCACGTTAAAGATCCCGTTGGTGGTCCAAAATCGATAAGAGCAGGCTTCTGCCTCCACCCGGGCAAAATTCAAAATTTCCTACCAACTGGAAATGTTTGTGTGCCGCGCGCTCATATGACCTTATGCAGTTGCGAGCGCGGTAAAACCCTTACCAAAAAATAAAAAAGAAAAAAAGAAAAAGAAAAATTCAGATGGTAGGCCTATATATCACAAATAATAAAACACTCACATTTATTATTTAGTCTAGTTCAATTCAAGTACCGCATTGTAAGATCTCCAGAATCAACACTGAAATGCACATATGCAAAGTTTCAGTTCATGTGAAGAAGAGGTTATTCGTGGGGATTGTGGAGTTGTCATGCATTGGTTATCAGAAAAAGGAAAAAAATCAACCATAGAAAGACAATACTCTCTTTTTTTTTAAATGAAAAAAGGAACTATCCGATCTCTCTCTCTCTCTCTCTCTCTCTCTCTCTCTCTCTCTCTCTCTCTCTCTCTCTCTCTCTCTCTCTCTCTCTCTCTCTCTCTCTCTCTCCAGTTCCCCCCCTCTGTATTTGCGAATCTGAAGTCTTCAATTACTAACTTAGTGAAGCCAATAAAAACAACAACAAAAAATAAAAATACAATTTGCTAATGGCTCAGCAAACAGACCAACCCTACCGTGTACTAAATGGACTTTGAAACACTTATAATAATATGCTATTTTTGTTTGTCTGTTTCTATGAAAAACTTAAACTGTTTTCACATTGAATGCGCAACAGGCCATGAACAGAATTTCAGGGACGACAATCAGTAGATTAGACACTTATTGTTTTGGCTTGGGCAGCTTTAAACGTTGAGGTTCGATCTTCTATAGGTTGTTTTTTGAAGAGAGAAAGGATACCGATCTGAGGTCAATGAACAGTGAAATGAGATGAAGTACAAATGCATCATCAAGGTTTTCATCGTGTAAATCGAAAGTTAAAAATGTTTTGTAAACTATGTAACAGGCTGCAGTCCGCGTCAATTCACTTGCGTAATATCACCGACCATAAAACTAGTGACTGTAGTTTGATAAAGTGTCAGTTAATTATTAGCCTACGACTTGCATTCTAAACAACGAATACTTTTAAGAACGAAGAGAGACAATGCCCTGTGGGAAACGTCCGTCTGTGACTTTATAAGAGAAGGAAAGGAAATAAATGAAGAAAAAAATATCAGTTGTATAGTTGGAGAAAGATAAAACAAAAGTCTGAAGAATTTCTAAGCTACTAGAGTATCCTTCTCATTACAAAGAGTGAAAACAACATCATAAACTTTTCGTGATAATAAATTCTTTTCTGCAAACCGGAAGTTCAAGTGTTTGTTGTGTGTGACGTACACTTCTATGTCCCGAGTACGGAAGAAGTGTGTTGCCGACTGTAACTATTTGGCCGTCAGACAACAGCTGATGTGAGCACACAGGCCTAGTAGTAATCATGGCTGAAGCAAAACACCACCAGTCAAATTTTAAAGGCTGGCTTTTTAAGTGGACGAATTATTTGAAAGGCTACCAAAAGCGCTGGTTTGTCCTTCAAAATGGGCTTCTTAGTTATTACAGGTGAGTCAACATCAACAACCTGTCTGTGGTGGTGGGCAGTAGCAGAGCAAAGTGCATGATGATTTGTTCTTATGTTTCCTTGAGTTTTATAAAAATCTTGAATTTGTTTTGGTCAATTGGTTCTTGAATGTATGGCAGCCAGTCCCTTTTAGATATATTTTCTCTTTGCACGATGTTGAGAGAGGACTTCCGTAGCCGTAACAAGCGACCACTATGAAACAGAGTAGAATAGAGCTTGCTAGGGTTTGGGGTAAGGCCTAATTTTAGGGTAGGGTTAGGGTTGGGCGGGTAGAACTAGAGTAGGTAAGGGTAGGGGTTGGGACAGGGTTAGATCTAGATCTCTTCTTTATTGTGTTTGTTGGGGTGGTCGCTCGTTACGGAAGTCCTTTTGATGTTGACATGATCATTAGCTGATAGAAGATCTAGATCTAGTCTAGATCTAGAGTCTAGATCTAGTCTATAGCAAAAGGCTCTCTTCTGCTACGACTAGTGACTAGATTCAGTACTTCTAGATCTAGAGATCAAGTCTTACACTCTACTTCAAAACTTACTTCAGCTGTTGGCTACTGTTGAGATGATCTCTTTTCAATTTTTAAAAGCACTCAAAATAGCCCACTAGTACGTTCACAAAAAACATAACATTCAATTAGGCAATTTCTTGACTTAAATAGTAGATAAGCCTACTGAACAGGTGTCTGTAATGTATCCTTTTACTGCACCCATACTAATTTCAGCTCTATGAAATAGCGTGTCTGCATGATACTGGCCAAGCCCAAAGGCAAAAGCTACACTCAACTGTGACTGTGTGTCTTTGAAGATTTGGCACACGGTAGAGTAAAGAATTAATTAATGTGATAGAAACTGGGGATGTTTGCTTTAATCAATCCATCATTGGACAAGTAAATGAAAATATTAGCTTAGGCTGTAGAGGAGGGAATTTTCAACAAAAAAAGCGCCTGTTTTTTAACCTACAGGCCAGCACTAAAATACATGATGAAAGAAGGACATGGTCTTCAATGTCTTTTTCACTGTTGTACATGATATAAATTACCTATATATTTATTATTATTGTGTCCCTAAAATTAGACAATATTTTGTAAATAATGAAGGCTTAATAAATTAAATATGGGTCACTTGGAATCTCTTATAACATGAAAAACATACTTTGACTAAGATGTGTAATCAGAGGCATGAAATGAAAAGGAAAAGTATAATACTTTTAATAATATGTCTTTGACTTTTAATAAGATTGTCAGTTGTATTTTTGCATTATATATATGAATGGTTAATTCTCTCAGATGTGTGTGATTGATGGGCTTTGCTATTTAAATTTTTAAAAAACAACCGTTGATTTTGATTCCATAATTTCGACTTTGGCAGGATCCATGATTTGTTTTGTAAAATAAAAAGGCAACGTGATATTTGTTGGTGATTGATTTTTAGCAGGAGGAATGTTAGTTATATTTATGAAAGTTGTGTGTTTGTTTTAAATAATAAAAAAGACCTTTTCGCAGGTGATTTAAGAGAAAGAGTTCGGTTAAAGATATTTTTGGTTGTGATTAAAACAGAAAAATTAAAAAAAAATTCTTCACAATGCAATGAATAGATTTAAAGTTTGTAAAATACTTGATCCCTGTTTCATTTACGTGTGTGATCCTTCAGGTTAGTTCAGAAATTGCTGTTGGTCTTGTTTTGAGTCTTATTCCAGATCATAATTAGACATTCTATTAGCAGACTTACCAGAACTTGTTTTTGTGCGATATGTTGGAAGTTGATGCAAAGTATTTGCTGTCATAGAAATAGGCCCATTTTTAAGAAGGAATTCGTGAACATTCCACTCTCTTTTTTCAGAGGAATTTGTGTAAAGAAAGGAGAAGAAAAATTTACCACTATTTCAATTTAAACCTCAGAGTTCAGCTATAAGGCAGCCCACTTGAACTTTGAACCTGACTGAGAACGAAAATGATAATCAACTGGTCACCGGGTAGCAGTGCATCATTTTGACTCTTTTGACAAGGCCATGATTTATGTATAGCTAAGGTCAGGGGTCACCAAATTATAGCCCATGGGCCAGATCAAACACACAAGGTCTGTTTGTTTTGCAGGCCACCATGTTGAAAAACAAACAAACCATGGAAGACATGTAGTGTGCTCAGGTCTTGGTTACCAAAATAATTTTTTTCATTTCATTGACCTCTACCACAGTAGGAAATAAGTATGCTTCTTTAGACTTAATAATCTGTGCCCCCTTCTCGGTTGTCTTTATTTTGTAGGCCTGCTTTATGTTGTTGGTGTATTGTGATTATTGAACAAATAGTTACCAGCCTGTGCTTGACATTCTGGTAGTTTTTCAGGAATAACCAAATCATTGTTGTCTTTTGGTACAATTTGAGAGAGACTGCGTTTCACGTAAATGAAAGTGCTCAAATGTTGCAAATGTTTCACAAGATTTTCCAGTTATTCGTTGATATTTTTACTATTTACTTAAAACAAATTACTGTTGTCTTTTTATTTATCAAATGGGGACATTTTAAGATGGGCTCAATCTATAATTTAGCTTGTTACAAAAGCGCTGAGAATCCAGTCAAAAAAGGTTTTTAAGGAAAAGAGTGATATATAGGCCTACTAATAATGTAAAAATCAAAACAAAACATGGTGTTTGGTTATTTGTAGAGAGCCAAATCAATTTGAGTGCAGTCCAAAAATTGTTCAGCCCTTTAAAGCCCAGACCATTTGAGCCTACAGGATTTGTAACGTTTGCTTAGAAGGTTGACTGTTAAGTTCACAGCACTCCAACTTCTGGGATGTGCCACTGTGCTGGCTTTCAGACACTTATAGGTTGATAATGTACCAGTTGCCCTCCCTGGAAGTTCAGTCTCAACCCTCCCCCCAACTATGCTCTACTGTGGTCACCCTTCTAACACAGCATTATGTGCATAAAAGCAGCCAGAGAGTTTTTTCATGGTGAGAATGTGATGTCAATCATTGACCAGAATTTTGATGGGAATCTTCTCCAAATAAATGTCATATTATGTCTGTGGCCTGCTCTATTAACATACAGGGTGATCCCAAAAAATTGTTTAACTTTTTATGTTAATATTTTCCTCCACACTGAAATTTTTCGTTTCAAATTTGTACACAGCATTTTGAAGTCAAAAGGAATTTGTTTGATATTCATTTTAGATAAAATCCACCGAATAGTGTTGCTCTACATTGCGCGTAAAAAAACCAACCCATTTTCAGCTATGTCCTGATTTCTGTAGCATGACGCACTAGTTTGCATGTGGCCTACCACTAAAAAAATCCCAACGATTGCATCATATTGCAAACTACTACAGTCTAATTGGACAACAGAAGTTTGCAGGTAGTTTTTCTCAAGTTCCCATTGCCTACTGAGATCATGGTTAAGATCAGTAAAGGACAGAGAGCTTTTTGTATTAAACATTTTCTCACCACCTACTCATTTTGTAAGTTTTGCACAAGGTATTGAAATAATGATGTCAGGGGTAGAAATGGTCCATCTGTTAGGACATGTAGAGAATCAGAACCAAAAATTCCTAGACAAAATGACCACTTCAGGTCAAACACACACCATTTGCACCCCTTTAAATGTCACCAGGGTGCAGAATTCAGTACCCGTAGATGAGCCCTATTCTGGAATTCCAAGATTCCAGAAAAAAAAAAAAAATTTAAACTCTGAAGGGGAAAAGAAATATTGTTTTTAAAGTCTTACAGGGATGGAAAGATTAGATTTTTTAAATAAAAGGAAAGGAAAAAACCCCTGAAACAATCATTTTATAACTGTCCTTACGAGATCTTTTACTTTTAAATTGGTGCATTTTTTATTTATAGGTGGTTTTTATAAATGCCATATCCGTTTTTGAAAATAGGTTTATTCTTTGTGAATTTTATGTCAAATAAATTCCTTTTGAATGAATTATATCTGTTCCAAATTACAACATTCAAGTACAAATTTTGTGCGAGATATTTAGGAAAAAAAGTTGTACATTTTTAAAAAATCACCATTTATATATATATATATATATATCAGGTCTGAACAACAAATATTTGAATCGTTTACAAGTAATTCAAAACAATGCCGCTAGACTGATAACAAGATCTAAAAAACGAGACCATGTCACTCCATTATTAAAAGAACTGCATTGGCTCCCTGTAAAAGAAAGAATAATATTTAAAATCTGCGTCATGTGTTTCAAATGTGTAAATAGAACTGCTCCTTTTTATCAACAAGAACGTATCAGTATATATAAACCAGGGAGAAACCTAAAATCATCAAACGATAACACCCTACTTGTGACACCTGTAAAATCATACAAATCATATGGAGAGAGATCTTTCTCATATCTTGGTCCATTTATGTGGAACAGATTACCCATGAAACTAAGACAAACAAAAACACTTGATAGCTTCAAAAGACATCTTAAACATTTTCTGTTCCTACAGGCCTATCCTTCATAAGCTTTTAATGTTATCTTTCAATACTTTCATTATAGTTGTTCTGTTCCTATGTCTGGATGAAAATAGTCTCTGTGTGTGTGTGTGTGTGTGTGTGTGTGTGTTTATGTGTGTGTGTGTGTGCATTAATGTATATATTGCATGAGAAGAAAGGAAGTAGTAAGAAAGGTTTTTGAAAAATGGGTATTCCAATGTAAAGCGCATTGAGCTACTTTTTTTGGAAATGCGCTATATAAATGTTGTATATTATTATTATTATTATTATTATTATTATATTTTGGGTAGTGAAATAATGTTCAAATTTCTTGGCTTCCGGTAAAATAATGTTTATTCTCATGGAGAAATATTTCCATTGGCCATAGATACAGAGAAAAGACAGATGTTTAGTTTTAGTAGAGGTTTTACGGCGCTCGCAACTGCATAAGGTCATTTGAGCGCCATTGGCCATAGATACAGAGAGAAGACAGATGTTTAGTTTTAGTAGAGGTTTTATGGCGCTCGCAACTGCATAAGGTCATTTGAGC